TAATTGAACTTGAGTAATAGGAAGGTAATATAAAATCAACTTTGATTACAAGTGATTGATTCGTTGCTCATACTTTGATATTCTGCTACGTCAGTAATAAACCTTGTAATCTACTACTGTTTGTTACTCAAATTGCATAAAGGTTGTATTTCAGATTTCTTGAGAGGTTATTATTCAAGAATTGTGTAAAAGAGAGCAATCTTAGGATAGAATTTATTCAACCCACTTCTAGATTCTAGAACATTGGGACCAACAGTGTTGTAAGTTGTTTGGGTTGTTCTAATACAACTTGTAGATAGTAGTTACTTAAGCGACAACCTAAACTTTTTATGTTTTATAGTTTGAATTGTTTGTATGTGTGTGTGTATAAGGAGGGATCCGTTTACTTTAGTAAGTTTTTCTAGATGTACTACATTTAATAACTCATGTTCTACATCAAATTTCAACGATCCAACCATTGAATTTAGAAGTTCTTAATGCATAAATGAAGTCTTCAAATTTTTTAAAAAATTTAAAAATCATTTGATACTTTATTTCATTAATTCAAATCAACGTATAAAATAATTTTATGATTACCCGTCAATTTGAATTAAAGAAATGGATATTATATATATATATATATAATAAGAGAATGTGGAATGGCTGGGGGTGGGGGGAAGTGGTATAAAAAGAATTGGAGAAAAGAAAAAAAATAAAGAAAAACAAAAACTTTTAGAAAGAGAAATGAAAGCTTTTGGAGGAAGTAATAAAAAAAATATATAACTGCTTTAGTGAAAGAATGAAAAAATAAAAAAATTATTTACATCGAAAATAGGATTCGAACTTGAATATTTCTCGTTAAGTTTTCGTCCGAAGTATTAAATTATTTTCAATTTTTTTTAAAATTTGTAAATTTGATCTATGCATTAAAAACTTTAAATTCAACAGTTGGATCATTAAAATTTGATGTACAACATAAGTTATTGAACAAAATAAGTATAGATAGACTTACTCTTTGAGTAAACAAATCTCGTGTGTGTGTGTGACATAGTAGGGCTACAACTCAAATTTGACCACACACACATGTATATCCATAGACTTTTTGCATGGTAACCCTAGGTAATTAAATTTTATGTTTTCTATTACTTAATGCTAAGTTGAAAGTTGTAGTGACTGACCAAGTCATTATACTACTACTTAAAAAAGTCTAAATAACTTATATTGAAAATGTGTATTATAATCAAATCCTATATATTAAATATGAACCACTATCTATTTTAAGGATTTTTTTTTCTTCAACGACAGAGTTTGTAAGACTTATTTTAGCTTATCTAATTTGATTTTTATTTATCATCATTATTTATGAATTAAATATTCATATTTTAAAATAAATTATCAATAAATAAAAGTATTTTTTATTATAACAAATTATTTATCATAAATTTAAAGTATAATTTATATGTTTAAATAT